GTAATATAAATCCAAATTTTACTTATTGGAAGTTAATGTAGTCAATAATGAGTGACACTGAGGAGAGCCTGATTATTGACTACATCAATATGTAGGATATGCAGATATCCTCACATACCTGTATTTGGCAAGTTATCAAACCTGTATATGGGTTACAAGGTCCTGCAAATTTGTAGCCGTAATATATCTCGAAGAGTTTGATCACAGCACCCAAGAGAGTTTAGGTGGATTGTGCAGCGTGGGAGGCTCTTAAGTGTGAGATTGCTCTGCCCCTTACTAGTTGTGTGATATTCAGTAAGGGACAAAAAGAGCTCCTCAGTCAGTCACAATAGAAATAATGCTTATAAACATCAAACAGTAAGGGTCTGTAAGTGTAACCTTTAGAGTTGTTGGTACTAGCCATTATTATATAGAAATATCAGCTGGAAGAGACAACCTTTACAATTCTGGATTTCTAAATTTCCTGGCATTTAAGTTCTTATTCTTAGATTTAAAAACTGAAAGACCACAATAATGATAGGACAGAGAAAGAGAGGGTGTCTCCTAGAGCAGAAAGTGCAAACTCAGGGTAAAGGTACCTTCTCTCCAAAAATGCACCAGGAACCTTGAAGAGGGAACTCTGGAGCTGAGCCCCTGAGACGTGCCCCTTATATGCTCATTTATAAATCCATTTAGCAGAATGCCCAGAGGGGAAGTGGTGAAAACCTCAGCCTCTGATAGAAACGCAAAGGTCCTTAAGCCTGAAATGAAGAAAAACATATTCATTTTGGCTTTAAATAAGGCCATAGGCTGAGTTTGAAATTGAATTATAGTCTTGAGTTTGGGTAGGCATATCAATCAGTAGTGTACCATTCTTTGCTTTTGTTTTGAGAAGGTAGAATGTGGATTCAGATATTCTACCCTGTAAAATATCCCAATTTGGAAACCAGACAAATATGTCATAAAAGACCATATCGATTTTTTACCATTTCTTGAGCTTTTAATGCAGTTTCAAACTATAATAGAATGTGGCTGAAGATTTGTATGTATCCCGATTTCTATGTGTTATAATTTTAGTGTCTTTACACCCAAGGCTTTATTTTTTATTTGCATTTTTTTTAAAATGACTTTTCTTTTTCACAGGCCACTATTTTCTAAATTGCCTGTATAGAAAAAAAAAACATGCTGAATTTTAAAACAAACTGAAGAGCAAACTAATATATATATTGGCTACATATTATTTTATAAGCTAAATTAAAGCAATTTTATTTTAGGGTATCTCATATTTTAATATTGTTGTGCACTGTGAATCTCTGGGCTAGTATTTTAATTTTCTTCAACTTGTTTGATTCAAGAACCCCTCATATACTGGCCTCTATTAAGGCTGATTTTGCAGAAAACCTGATAACAATACATGCACATATTTGTGAGAGATTATTGTTTTAACAGAATAGATCTATTGGTTTGTGGAGAGAAAAATCAACATATGACTTTCTTTTAAGCAGAAAGTTTATAATGRTAAAGAATTATAACATTAAGTTAAATGATCTAAATGGCTGTGTATATATATCTGTAGATTGGATAATAGATAATTTTTTTACTAACATAGCATGTGATATCATCTAATTCAGTATTAAACAATGACTAGTATTTAGACCTTTATAATTACTCATTGTAATTTGTTATATATGTGTATATATTAACACATACAGTAGAGATTATTGTTTACTTTTATTAATAAAGGTGTTAACTTTTATAATCTTGTTGCATTAGATTCTAAAATGATGAAAGATAATTACTTTTGGTGATGTAGTTGCAGTTTGTGAAATCCATCTTCAAAGTATAATTCTGTTAAGTGTTGTTTTTTTTTTCCCCCTTAAGTATACCGGGAAATAAAATTGTCTCCAAAGAATAATACACCACTTTGCATTTTGAAATCTGATTTTATAGCCACCGTGATCAGAGCATCATTCAATTCAAACAAAAGAATTTAATCTAGAGAATATGTCACATTTGCATGAAGTGTCTAGTTCCAAAATACCTCCTACACAGATTTGGATTGAATATAGTCGAAAATGCAGCTTCCCCAGTGTTATCAAAAGACCAAAATAATACCCTGCTCACCAATATATGATAAAACTTGGCAATAGGTATTTTCAGAGTGTATCTTTGATATAAATATTGCAGTACATTTATATTTCAAAGCATCATTATGAGGCTTTAATATTGCTTAATGAGTTGTAGGCATGATTCACCTTATCCTCTAAAAGAAAAGGGCCTTGTTTGTACACAGAACACACCCAACAGGACCGTATGAGAACTTCCTCCAAGGTGGTGTCCTCTTTCTGCCTTTAATTTTTCCTTCTGCTAATGGCTGAAGGGTTAATCATCTCTGAGGTTGTTGCAGAAGTTCTTGTGATGACATGTAAAAGATAGTCTAAGAATAACCCCAGAGATGGGAGCTGTTGAGACCATCTCATCTATTTACACACTTGCATAACTATTGTCTCACACTTTGTGCATTGTTAATTTTTATTGGGTGGAAACAGGAATGAGGTGGAGTTGAGGAAAGTTTGGAAGCGAGGCTGGGATGGGAAACTTGGCAGTAGGTTTCCCTGTAGCTGGCCCATGCTAAGGGAAAAGGATACTGTAATTTTAAACCGATTTTTCAAAATTTAGATGACAATCCTGGACAGAATTTAAAAAGAGAGTTTAGATTTCAAGTTTGTTAAACACTTGAAAAGATCATAGAAGTTAATGCAAAATATCCAAATGTTCATCATCTGAAAAAAATCTATAAACACTGTGATCTACTGGTACACAGGGAATACCATTCAGCAATAAAAAGAAACCCACTACTGAGACACGCAACAACACAGGCGAACTTTACAAGCATTAGACCAAATGAAGGATGCTAGACACAGTGACCATAAACTGTTTGATGCCATTTATATAAACTTAGAGTAAACAAAACTCTAGTGACAAGCAAGCCTACCAGTGGCCTTGGGCTGCAAGTAGAAGACCAGATTGACCTCAGAGTGGAAGGGGGAGAACTTTTTCATTACCTGGAAATGTTCTCTGTGATAATTTTTGTGACTGAAGGCATTTATCATATCCCATCAGCTTATACACTTAGTATTAGAAAATCTTATCATGTATATAAATATTTAAAGTATACCTAATTTCAACTGATTCAGAAGACAGTATGGTAGAATTCAGCAGTAAGTGAGGAGGGAATCCTATTATTTGCATATATCTGGAAGTGACTAGAAATGACTAGAAATGACAGGGGGCAGCCTGAGTTTCGTCTAGAATCTGGGCAAGTATTGACATGAGATGATAAATTCAAAGGGGAGGTGGCCAATAAAAATGATCAGACCCATGAGTTCTCGGTCACTCTAATTGCTTCCCACCTGGAAGGCACTTAATAAATGCTGACTGCTATTATTTTTGTTGTTGCTGTTGTTTAGAAGTGTACATCAAAAGTGCCTAATGAGGAGTTGGGAATACAGAAGAGACAGAAACTTTCTTCTCCCTACCCTTAGAGGGAGCCTGGGAGCCAACTAGTTCCAGTGACTGGAAATACACAAAACCCAGTGAAATTTATTGATGTCTTATTTAGAGGAATTAATGAAGTTAATGTGGAACACAAGCTAAATATTCGACATCATTTTTCAGACACCTTCTTAGCTTTTTAATGTATGACAAGTCATTTCTGGGCTGTCTCAAGTCTTGGTAAGGAGTCTTATCATAGCTTTGAATTTGATAGAAAGTTTCTAAGTTTGTAAGGTTTCCACAGAAGTCATGGGATAAATAAATAGATAGATAGACAGATGAACAGATGGACAGAATTGGAATAATTTTAAAATGTTTTAGGCTGTATGTGAAATGGGTAGGTTGTCAACAATGACTATAGGACTGTGAGGCTGATGCAACCTTTTTCTTCACATGGCTCGCAATGTATAAAACATAGTAGTCAACATCTCTTGATGTCTTAATGCACAAAGAATGGATTGTGTTAAGTAAATTTCATGAATTATCACATTTACACCTCATCACAACTTTGAGAAGCTGAAACAGGAGGTTCACCAGTTAGAGCCCCAGCCTAAGCAATATAGCAAGGACCTGTCTCAGAATAAAAAATAAAAAGAAGTAGGGATGTAGCTCAGTGTTGGAGCAACCATGGGTTCAATCCCCAGTAACCAACCTCGATAAGAAAAAAGAAAGAGAGGATCAAAGAGGTTGCAGAAAAATTAAGAAGCAGGTCAGAATTTTGATGTGACTGTAACTATTGAGAATCCTGCACATGAACCCTAAGACAGAGTTTAGTGAATGGACATTAAATTTTATCAGAAGTGGATTTTTGACATTCGGTTTTCTTGTTGCTTGTCCTATCTTGGAATGGAATGGAGAGGGAGAACAGACATCTTACCAAAGCTCTGTAAACCACCAAAATAAGTTCATAGGGTATCAGAATATATTAGATGGTCAATAAATGATTGCTGAATGACTTAAATAACAACTTCATAYGTGTCAATTCTTGAAAAATAGATTTGTATGCTATATGTTTAGAGGCTAAAAGATTCCAAGCATAGCATAAGGTTAAAGTTGACTAATAATGTATATTTAATTTCACAGTTGCTCAACTGATCAAGTCTGTTTTGAAGTCCATTTAGGGGCAATGGTATAGGTTACTGGCATTAGCAAGAACTCTAGTTTTGATAAACCTTCAATTATACTTAAGRACTATGTAACTGCAACAATTCTTAATCCTAAATGAAAAAAGCACTTAGTATGCAGACTCTAATGGGTACATTTTTCATTTCCTTATCGTACTGAGCTTCAGGCTTATTGTTATCTCTTTTCCAAGAAAGTAGAAATGCCTTTTCTTAGAATAAAAATGGTCTTTATAATGTGAACAGTAGATGGAAGCTGTACAGATTGGCTCTTTAATAAAATAGGCAACATTCCAATGGAACTGACAAGCTTTATTTCTATTTGTTGTATTTTTCTCATTACAGATGGACCCGATTCAGAAAGCTGTAATAAATCATACATTCGGGGTTCCTCTTCCTCATCGAAGAAAGCAAATCATATCATGCAACATTTGCCAGTTGAGATTTAATTCCGATGTAAGTTTATCATTTAGTATTCACTAAAAAAGAAATGTATTATGCAGTTCTAATCTTCCAGGAGAAAATATTTTTTAAACATTTTTCTCCAGTAACTGAGCGTGTCAAAAATCCAAAGATGACATTTAACTCCATATATGCCTTAATTTGGGGGTTCATTATATTTGGTTGTTGACTATAGAAAAAAATCACACATGAACAGTCTTATATACTTGCTTTGGAATGCTAAATGTAGATAGTAGGTTTGTTTTGGGAGAATAGTCAAACTTTGGACCAATGACATGTTCAATGGATTACACTTCAGAGATAAGATAGGTACCAAAACATTTCGAGGCCAAGATTTTATTTGTAAACTCTATTAGCCTACCATGGATGCCCCCAATTCCAGGTCAGTTCTGCATTCTGGATTATATTTTTTAGAGCTCTCTGGTTAGTATCCTAGGAATATTAGCAATTTAACAGGGAGTCCTAAAAACCTCAAATCACTAAAGCCTCCCAAAATAAAATGTAAGTAGAGAACATGATAGAAGGGAAACATCTATGAACTGGCACCATGATTTGCAAGTTATTCACATCATTTTGATGATAACAATTTTGCTAAGATTCACACCTTTTGATAAGAACCAGGTGAATTCTGGGTCCATCACAGTGATACTAATTTTTTACTTGTGGCCAGTATGAAAAACCTTTATGACCACCTTTGTACCCCCAAACCTGCTTTGGTGTGCAGTTGGTTCTGTGAAATGCAGAAGAGACAAGGGAATGTTAGTCTGCAAGGAATGGGAGTTGGGTGCCATTCAGACTATAGGCAAATGCAAGACCCCACGCTTTAAAAATGGATCCCCTGTCACCTTGCCCTAAGTTGATAGACAGTGTGGAGATGCCCAGATGGATCAGGATGCTGAAGTACATTAAACCTACCAATATTTAATCTCCATAGCCAAATGGGTCTTTTAGATGCTCAGGTGATGAGATAGAATATGAGATAATCAGGTAGAGGAAATAGACGTAGCGTTTAAAAAGTGGCTCCTTTCTTCTCAGAGAACATTTTATTCTATATAAGGATTGCTATTGTCTTACTCAAATCTACTAGTGCAATCAAAACATTCCTGCTGTTGGCTTTAAAAACAGAAGATTGCTTCCGTAGCACCTGTCTTAGTCCATTTGGGCTGTTATCACCAACTATAAACTGCATAAATTATTTCTCACAGTTTTAGGTAGGTCCAAGATGAAAGTGCTGGCAATTGGTGTCTGGCAAGGGCCTGCTGCCTGGTTAGAGATGGTGCATTTTTTTCGCCATATTCTCAAATGGTGGAGAGGTAAAGGAGCTTTCTTGAGCCTATTTATAGAGGCACCAATCTTATTTGTGAGGGTTCTGCCCTGGTGACCTAATCATTTCCTCAATAGCCCACCTTCTATTATTATCACCTTGGAGGTTAGGATTTGAACATGAGTTTTATTTATAATAAGTGAACATTATAAACAAGAATGTTATATAACATAAGAAATATAAACATATTCTTACCTTATTTCCTTGAAAATAAGGAGTGGCAGCTTCTTTTGCTAATGAAATGTCAAGGTGGCATAGGGCTTGAAATGCATTTATTAGGGACAATTGGTTTCTGTTCTCATGATTTTGCTTTTGGGTCTGTTTTGGCATATGGCTAAATTTTCCTTTAATCACAATACCGGAATGACTGGTCAAGGTATTCAGGAGATTGTACTAATCAGTTTGAGTCATAATTCCTTCAAAAATGCACACGGACACACCCCTGTTATATATTACAGCCTTGACCCTTGACTGCATAGTTACGCTATGTATCGCTGCTATAACACATTACTCAGTGTCTTGAAACAACACAAATTTATTACCTTGTAGTTCTGGAGGTGATAAGTCTGAAACAGAGCCCAGTGATAAAATCAGGGTGTTGACAGGGTTTGTTTCTTCTGGAGAGTCTAGGTGAGAATCCAGGACCTTTGTTTTTCCTTCCTGAGGCTGCATGCACTCCTTGGCTTGTAAGCCCTCCCATATCCAAGATAGCAATGTCAGATTCCACCCTCACCTGTCATCATTGTGCCTCTCACACTTCTGCCTCTATTTTTCACATATACAGACCTCTTTGTGATCAAATTGGGMCCACCTGGATGATTAAGGATAATTTTCCAATTTAAAATTCATCTGATTAGCAACCCCAGTTTGATCTGCTAACCTAACCCACTCCTTACCCCATAATATATCCTATTCGTAGATGGGGAAGTCATTATTCTGCCTGCCGCAGATATTTTATTTAGATGTTTGAGTTAGATTTGAATGCAATGTCATGACCACTTGAATTTGTTGGGAAATTACCCAGTCCAGTTTCTTTGGACTATATTATACAATCTGGACATATATGAATTAATCATCTGTACGTTTTTCTTTATCTTGAACCTTGGGTATAAATTCACGATGGAGTGCTAATTTTTAAAGTTATGGCACTATTTATTTTTTAGTAAAAAGAACCAATGTTGACTTTTTCAATGACTAGCAGCATCTTAACTGTTTTGCAAAGAAGACATGATCATTATGAAATTAAGATATAAGAGTAGAAACTCTCTTAGAGACTTAAAAAATGCCCTGGTATCATCATTATATACTAAGAAGAACTAATGAACTGGACATAATAGATTAGTTTACTTATTGGCCAGTTATATCCATAAATAAATATCAATCGCATGATATTAATGCCAAGGCCAATTACATTTATCAATTGATCCATATATAAGAAAGTCATTCCTCTATAAAGGAAAATCAAAATCTAAATAGACATACAGATCATATTGGATTATTTTAATACCAAGAAGTTTTCTAATCTCAATACAAGTGCTTTTTTGTTCTTTCCAGATAAATCTGGATTTTGTTGTCTTTTTTCCATTTTTAAACTTAGAATTGGTCTGAAAAAAAAATAACAAGTCTATTTTACTTGTATGCTTGGTTTGATCCTCTATCACATAGGAATATATTTTGCCTTATGAATTTTTGACATTTCAAATCTTCTTCCCCTTCCAATGAAAATAATAGCCTACAGTTCTTTTCATTCTGAGATCATGAAAATTCAGTTTCCTTTTCCTCTAAATATTTATTTATTTATTTTGGTGTTGGAGTTTGAACCCTGGGGTACTTAGCCACTGAGCCACTTAGCCACTGGGCTAAGTACCCCAGGGTTCAAACTTTTTACATTTTATTTAGAAACAGTGCATCCCTGAGTTGCTTAGGGCCTCGTTAAGTTACTGAGCCCTGGCTTTGAATTCACAATCCTCCCAAGCTGCCAGGATTATAGGCATGTGCCATTGTGTCCGGCTTATTTATTTTTTAACCCTTCATGTTATAAACCATGTAGTTTATATTTTGCCATATCTGTATCTTGTGTGGTACCATTTCCGTTTTGGAACCTGCAATTAGCTTTTGAAATGTTATAATTTATATTTAATGAATTCAAATCAGATTGCCTTCTGATACAGGCTTTTTCTTGAATAAATTTTTTTTCYAATTTTCATTGGAAAGATACCCTGGGTTTTGAAAAAAAGCCTTTCAATTAAAGACTGAAAAATTGTAATTTTTCCAATTATTCTATCAGCGTCTTAACATAAGCGTGTTACTGTGTTATTAAGTTTGCCTTTGAAGGACAACTTACAGCAAGGCCATCATGGATGTGAATAATTAGTGAAATACAGAGAATGAATGTTTAATGATGTTTTTGTAGGGTATGAATGAAGTAATAAGATCTTAGACTCCAAACAAAGGAATATAAAATTCTAGCATCTGCTTTTAACCTCCAGAATTTGATAATATTTTAGAGGCAAAAGGGACCTTTTGCTAATTTCACCTGCACAAGTTGAGATGGCCATGTGGCCAGTAGCTGGCTGGACAGGGGTAGTTCATTTCTTCACTGTTTATGGCTCTTTTGGTCAAAGTAGGGAAGCACATCCATTCTGGATTTCCAGAGGATGCTACAACAATGGCTTAGATGAAGATCTGTGTTTTTCCTACTGAGTCAGACTGTCCTGGAGAGAGGCTTTGAGGGCTTCTTCCCTTGTGGAACTAAGTGGATGAAGTCAGAGCTGTTACCGGAAAACAATTCATTGGCTAGCCCTTCCTTGCAAGGTGTCCAGTGTCCTCTCAAATGATTCACYCATATTCAGTCACACTCACAATTCAAGCATAAACATGTTGAAAGTTTAAATATAAATTCAGGGGCTGGGGTTGTGGCTCAGTGATAGAGTGCTAGTCTTGCATGTATGAGGCACTGGGTTTGATAAAAATATATAAAGGTATTGTGTCCATCTATAATTAAAAAATAAATTTAATAATTAAAAAATAAACAAATATAAATTCAGATTATTGAACTACATAATACAGTTAATGATATATCCTTTTGCAACTGAGGATTATCAAGCATTGATTTCTTCTGGGAACCATTTGCTAAACCAGAAGGGGGAAAAAAATCCTGGTTAAAAGTGAACGTCACTTCTAGCCTCTGACCCTTCTAAAGGGAGATCTTTGGAATAATCACCAATATAATTAATTTTCCAATGATATTATAAACTATAAATCATTATTGCTCTACAGTTTTGAACTYGGAAAGATAGTGAAAATAAGCAATGTATATAAATTTAATTCACACCTCTTCGTTTATAACATCTTAACCAAGTAGTTAATTTGGAATAGAGATTCTGGTAGCATGTTTTTTTTCTTTTCAAATGACCAAATCAGAGAATTAAACTTTCTTATAATAATGTCTTAAGACATCTTTTAATACTTAAATCACTATTATTTGTGGGGCTGATATTTAAAGAAAATGCAACTTAAATGGGACAAAACCAAAAAATACTGGTGTTTGTTTAAAGTCAAAGAACTTTTCTCTTTCATCTTCCTACTTTTAATTTCAAATTTCCTTTATGAGCATGCTTGAATTTCATAAAAAAGGAACTGTATCATTGGTAATCTTATTATAGTTTTT